CCCCCCCCCCGCCACAGCAACCCAGGGGCTGAGGGTGGAGACAGCACAGCTCCCGGTGGAGAAGCTCCTGTCCCCTTCGCCAACCTCAGCCCATGTGGTTTGAGCAAGCGAGAAAGCTTTTTTGTATCACACTGAGAGCTTAGCCTAGCCTTGAGCACGTTCCCTCCCTTTTCCCAAGCCATGGGGTCGTTAGTCATCCAGACCTGAAGTTCTTATCCTCACAGGATCCCAAGTGGAACCCTTCAGGGAGAAAAAAATGCCCATATTACTGCGGTGTCACTGGCTCTGTGCTCTGTGCGGCTGAACGGATCTCAACTCCTGCCACCTGACACCGTTCAAGGAAACATCCAGGCAAACAGATGTTCTCTCTCGGGTAAACTGTGATGGAGCCCTGGTGGCTGCCTGGAGATTTGTTTTGAAAATGATTCTGAGGCAAAGTCTTGGCTGTGCAGGAAGATGACACAGTCGATTAGTGATGTCTGTTGTGGGCACAGCACAAGGAGCTGGGGCTCGGGTAGTGACATCTGCCATCATGTGTCTTCCGGCTATCCAAGGGATGCTCATACTCTTGCTATGGGTCAGCCACGAGGAGATGCTCGGGAGCCCTGAAACGCTTCCACGGAGAAAAAACTTAAGTGGTCGGTCCAGCACTAGCCCATCCCAAGCTTCCAGACTCGATCAGGTAGCTTAACTCCACTGTAGGAGTTTTACGTTTCAAAAGGATGCTCTCTGATGTCCTCCTTGAGGAAGTGGCCATCTTTGTGACAAACCACCCAGAGGGCCTGATATGTAAAGCAGTCAGACATGATGGTCTTTCTGATCCATCACCAGGATTCTCTGCTCAGCTGCTGTTCTAGACTCATCTTACTGTTTCACTGCAAGACACAGACACACGGAAGCAAGGGTAGAATGAGGCCATGTTTTGACTAGTGTCGATACTGTGCTTAGGGCCTGGCTGTCCCATGGGAGGATTCTTTTTTCTTCTCCCTCTTCGTCTTCCCGTAGACCCTTCAGCTCACACCAGGGACTAACAGCCCCTCAGGCTGCTCACTGCTGCCTTGACAATAATCCTAAGAGGCACATGTTTTTTTTTTATTTCTATGTGTAAGGAGTCTAAAGCACAGAGAGGTTAAGAATCCAGCAGAAAGTCTCAATAAGAAATGTTCGGCTCCAGAGTCCATGCTTGGTGCAGTATGCATCAAAAGGAAACAAATCTGGCTGCTTGCTAACATTTTTCAACAGAGGGAAGAGAGTAAAAATTACCAATCTGAGATCATTGAGAGTAGTGGTAAGTGAAGGAACCTCAGCACCAAAGAGGCTTTAGTTTGAGGCCTGGCTCTATCGATTTGTTTTTTTAGCCTGTTTTTTAACCTTAGACAAGTGACTCAGCCTCACTTATCTCATCTGTAAAGTGAGAGCACTTAGGGAATTTACTTCATCTTCCTGTGAGCACCTGGTGAGATTTTACACACCAAGTAATTAGTGGACCTTGGCATATGGCAAACACTCAACAAAAAGGCTCTTATGCTTATTCTCAGTGATGCACCACCCTTCCCTCTATTCCTAATTGTCACAGATAAACTTAAAGTTGGTCAGTTTCTATCAAAGTCAGCTATTTGGGGGAAAATGTCTACTTTAGAAGAAAATTCTTGCTAAATAAACGTCAAGTGTGCTAAGATCTAGAAAGATTCACTAAGGGTGTTTTGACATACCTAATTCTTCTAGTTTCCTATGCCATATCTTATGCTGCCTCTGGCTGTGTAGGGAAGCATTTAAAGTGTGGCCCCGAAGTCTAATCCATAATTTTATTCGAAGTAAAAGGTTAGAGTTTTTCCTTAATCTTGTTAGAAGCATGCAGGGTTACCGTGACCCCTGTTGGGTGAATGAACATTGTTCAGAACTGCCATCAAAAAGAGAGCCCATCAGCCGGGCTCGGTGGCTCAGCCTGTCATCCCGCGCCTTTGGGAGGCTGAGGTGAGTGGATTGCCTGAGCCCACGGGTTCGAGACCCGCCTGGCCAGCGAGACCTCATCTCTACAATAAATCAAAAATCAGCCGGGCGTGGTAGCACATGCCTGTAATTCCGGCTACTGGGAAGGCTGAGGCGGAAGGATCACCAGAGCCCAGCAGGTCAAGGCTGCGGTGGCCAGGAGCAGCCACCGCACTCCAGTCTGGGTGACAGAGTGAGACTCTGACTGAAAAAGAAAAA